TCTCCCACTTCAGCTTCCCAAAGTGCTACGATTACAGGTGTGAGCCACCGCACCTGCCCCATCTTCTTAATAATTTTTTAAATTACAGCAGGACAACACTGTTGACTTTCTATCTCTAACTTTTTTTTTTTGAGTCGGAGTCTCACTGTGTCGTCCAGACTGGAGTGCAGTGGCCGCTTCTGGCCACCGCAGCCTCGACCTGCTGGGCTCCAGCGATCCTTCCTCCTCAGCCTTCCGAGTAGCCGGAATGACAGGCATGCGCTACCACGCCCGGCTGATTTTTTGATTTATTATAGAGATGAGGTCTCGCTGCCCAGGGGGGTCTCGAACCCGCGGGCTCAGGCAATCCACTCACCTCAGCCTCCCAAAGGCGCGGGATTACAGGCTGAGCCACCGAGCCCGGCAATCTCTAACTTTTAATGGGTCTAAATCACAATCCTTACACAGAAAAGTTACATACTTCCAAACTCTTCTGAATACGCTGATGTTCTGCCAATAACTCCATCTATGAAGGGACCCCACCCCCCAAAAAAACCCAGAATCAGTTTTTGAAGGGTGGACCCTGTGAAGTGCAGGCTGTCCCCACTCAGTAAGCATTCTAGGAACCCATCAGCATCACTGTACCAGCTAGCTTTGTTGTGAGAGACTGCATTCGGCTTCAGTGAATTTTTTTCAGAGATTCTTTAAACACGTATGCTCCTTTCATGGTGGGTGATTTACTAGCACACCTGCCCACACCACGCTGCGTGTTCAGCAGTTTTGAACCAAAAATGGCATGGCCTCTGTCCCCACCCTCCCTATTCACCTGATCACACCCCAAGTGACCTTTTTTGTTTATTTCTTGGATGAAAAAAGTCCTTGAAGGGAAATGTTTTGCTGATGTGGAAGAGGTGAAGCAAAAAATGGCCGACACACTAAAAGGCAGCACAACTGACAAGTTCAAAAACTGTTTTGAGCAGTGGAAAAAACGTCTCAATGGGTGTATTGCATCGAATGACGTGTACTTTGAAAGTGACTGATGCTTAAACATGTAAGAATAAATACACAATTTTTTAATAAATGAATTTCATTTTGGGAAGCCCCCCCTCCCGTATTCTCCTTTCCTGGTTAGCTCTCAAATGTTGGACTGAAAATAATTACCTGCCGTAGGAAAGAGCACTGGATGGGAAATGAGTTTACCTGAGTTCTAGTCCTGAGCCTGCCCCGAACCGTCTCTAACATCTTAGGCAAGTCATTCCTATTTCTCCTGAGTCTGTTTTGGCTTAGCTTGTTCATTATGGAGCTGAGAGATAGGACTTCCTTCACAAAATAGTGATCCACAGCAGTAGGTTTGCTCTTTCTAAAACTGAGGGATAAACTGGTTTGCAAAGCATAGCCTAGAACCCAAATCCAGACCCATCGCACAAGATTGTTGAGTCTAAAAACTGGGTCTTTCAAGACAGAACGAAGGTCCAAAAATAAGTCTTCGTGACACACATGCAGAATTCCAGAGCACAGCAGTTAATTTTAGGAGGTGACAGAGTGTTTTTCTCTTTACATCATCTCTATCTTTACCGTCCTCACCTCCACGTGGTTCTGGTAAGGATGGCTAATTCTTCATCCCTATGGAAGGATGGGCACATGACCCAATCCAGGTCAGTTAGCATCTCTCTAGCTTGAGCACTTAAATCCAGAGCAGAAAAAGAAATTCCAGCAGCAAAATCCAGCTGTACTTGAGACTCTGAATGGTGATATCTTAGCTCTTCTCCTCCTGAGATCCCTGGAGCCACTTTTGTAAAGTGCTTCCTTGGTCAGGTCTCTGTACCCTTCAAATAAACCCTCTTTTATGCCAAAATGTTCATTCAATTTCTCCTGTTTTCAACACAAGAATGAAGCATATTTCAAAACATTAGAATTCAAACTGGCACAAGTGAAAAGCTTTGGGTCTTCCTGGGCAGCAGAACTCATCCAGTGAGATCCAGCTGGGAGCCGGCAGGAGGTATGTTAAAAGTCAGCTCCAGAAACTGGTGAGAGGGAGGGGGACAGAACAGTGGCCAGAAGAAGGGGCAGTAGAGAGGGGAATGTGGATGGGGAATGGCTGCTTACTGAAAAAAAATGGACTGATTATCCCAGATGACTTCTTTTCTTTTCTTTTGTTTCCTTTTCTTTCCTTTCCTTTCCTTTTTTTTTTTTGAGTCAGAGTCTCACTCTGTCATCCAGGCTTGAGTGCAGTGGCATGATCAAGGATTAGCACAGCCTTGATCTCCTGGGCTCAGGCACTCCTTCTGCCTCAGTCTCACAAGTAGCTTGGACTACAGGCACATGCCACCATGCCTGGCTAATTTTTGTACTTTTTTTGTAGAGACAAGGCCTCACTATGCTGCCCAGGCTGGTCTCGAACTTTTGGGCTCAAGCAATCCTCCCACCTTGTCCTCCCAAAGTGTTGGGTTTACAGGTGTGAGCCACCACAACCAGCCAATTCCAGATGATTTCTATGCTCTAACATTCTATGATTCACAGTGATCAACTCCATGGCCCACATTATTAGTGCCATGTTTTGAGTGAGATGGGGAGAGGAAGAAGCTTTGGTCTTTTTCTCTTACGGTCTTACTTTTGGTAAGGGCCTAGAGGATGGAAATATTGAGAGGCATAGGATGATGCTTGACTCCAAGCATTCTGATCCACTCCTGTAAATGCAGAAGGGTGTGCAGGTGGCAGAACTCTGGTAATAACACTCATATGACATTTTTCAGGTGACTTACAAATCAATCCCACCCGATCCTTAGGTGAGCCCCATTGTATCACTAACTGTATACATTTATTCTTGAAGGCCTCTGTGTGTGACAAGGATTTGTTGTTCTCTTTTTTCCAGGAATATTCTTTCATGTATACATCAGTTTGTACTTTTGTACCCTGAGTTACCGTGACACAAGAAACCCTTTGTTCATCTTGAAATTTCCTCCTATTTCCCTTGTATATTACCAGAGATACAACTATACCATTGGTAGCTTTGCTGTCCTTTGATCCTTTTTGGGGTTTTATGGCTTAGCTGTTATCGAAGGGACAATACTGGTATACATGGGGACCCTGTCAAGTGTGCTTGAGCCTTAGAGCATTTGTACTTTCTGTTCCCTTGGCCTAGAACCCTTTCCCCCAAGATATCCACTCTTTATGAGTCTATGAATCTTCCATCTGTTCCAGTGGTTTCTGAGTTGGAAGATGGAAAATCAATTAGTCACACAAATACAAAGTAGAGGATCTTGGACACGACCCAAAATGCTGATTTGGGGGATAGGGTTAGGGGCTGGCAAAGGAGCAAGGATGGAATGGTGTTATTCCCATGAATCAGATTTCACTTGTCAACTGGTTCAACCAACCAGCTAACAGCAAAAATGACCTTTTAGCATGCATTGATACAGAAATGAGCTGAATAAGTTAAGTTTTGGCATCTTGAGATCACAGTCACTCTTTGGATGAGCAGCAAACTGTCGGCCTTTTAGAGGGAAGATGACCAGCAAAAGGGAAGCCTGGCTCAAAAATCATATTACAATTTAAATTGAAGGTGTATCAAATGAATGGATAGAGTTTTGGAAGAATTGACATTTTTACACTATAGAGACTGCACTGCTTATCTATGTGTGTTTCTTTATGTCCTTCCACTTAATGAGGGTTTTGCACATTTTTGGAAGTTTATTTCTAATTTTATAATAGTTTTTGTGGCCATCATTGATGGAATTTTTTGGTCATTATGTTTTCCAACTGATATATCGGACAGCTAGCTATTCAGCTACCTTAATGAATTCATTTACTAGATCTCATGGTCCTTTAAAGGTTTTTCCCTAATTTTCTAGGAAGACAGAGGTATCAATTTTGCAAAAGAACAAATAGTGCAACATTTATAATAATTCTAATTTCCTGTTCTTGTTTTTTATTAGTGAGGACCTTCAGCAAAATGTTGAATAGAGCCATTAGTGGAGGACCCCAGCTTTATTGGCCTTGCTTCTGATATTTCCCCATTCAGTCTGATATTTGCTGTAATCTTCTGATGTGTAACCTTTAGAAAGTAAAGGCATTTTTCTTCTATTACTAGTCAGCTAGATGTATTATTAGTAATGGGTGTTAAATTTAACCAAGTATATAGTGGGACTTAGTTGAAATGATTATATAGTATTGACTGGGCTGCCTTAATTTCTGGAGCTCAGGGGTACTCCTTCAGCCTCATCTGATCATTGGCAAAATTTAGTTCCTTATGGTTATAAGATTAAGATACCTGTTTGCTGGCTGACATCTGGGGGGCTACTAAAAGTCCCTGAAGTTCTCTGCCATGTGGCCTCCCTGCAGTCTCTCTCAAAGACCTCCGAATAACATGGCCGCTTACTTATTCAGAGACTACAGAAGAATCTCTCATTCCTGTCTCCTGAGGTGAAGTCATAGATAATGTAAAGTAATCTCCAGAGCGACCAGATTCTATTCTGTTCTATACCTATGCCTTCTTCTGTTTTGTTTCTAAAATTCTATTTCTATTTGCCATATTCTATTGGTTAGAAGCATGTCATACAAGGAGAGATGACTATATAAGTATTATAGTTGTATATAAAGTTGTACATATTGTTTTCTCCCAATTAAAAAAAATTCTTTATGTGTGTGATCGTGTTATTTAAAAAATTCCTAGATGTTTTATCTGTATCCTTACTTTTACTTGGAACTGTAGATTTTATATTCTAAAAGAACTAAGTGATTTTGTCGACTTCCTATGTAATTAATTTCTACTTTATCTTCAGTCCTTTTAAATTTTTTTGTACTTATGAGTATTTTGATATTCTTTTTGTTGTGTTTTTGACCTTAATGTTTAGCTCACATTCATTTACCTGTGATCTTTCTAGTGTTCTGACAAATATATTGAACAAGTACACCCAAACACACACTTTTTCTTCCAACACTGCCTTAACTGCATTCCACAGGTTTTGATAATTAATTTTTTAAATGCTGTTCATTTCTAAATGCCTTCTCTTCCCATACAAATGGAATGGGAAGAGAAGAATCTGCAGACAGAAGAGCTAGGTAATGAGTCTCCTTGGCCACGTGAAGGGATGTAGATGCCCCTTTCTGCCTCTGACACTGTGCTCTTATCCCTTTCTCTTCACCTCTCTTAGCTCCCATTGATTTCCCAGTAGACTTTGGGCTTTGGGAAAACTTCCAGACAGAAATTTTCCCTCTGCTCTTACACCACAATAATCATCAACACAGAGGAAGACTTCTGTGACCAAATGTAGGTGTTTCTCCCCACCACCAACCAGTGGACACCAACAGAATGTCCTTTAATTCAATTCCAGCACTATTTATCCAGAGAGAGTGTCAGATTCCACGGGTGAGAGTTCAGTCCCAAGAGAGTCCCTGCTCCCAGACACCAGTCACAAACCCGTGCCTCCAGAACTTCGGCTTCAGGTTGGGGTTCCCAGGAACCCCCCCTTTGAGTTTGATTAGTTTGCAGAAGCGGCTCCCAGAATTCAGGGAAATGCTTACGTTTATCGGTTTACTATAGAGGATGTTGCAAATGACACTAATGAACAGATGCATAGATGAGGCATAGAAGAAAGGGCACAGAACTTCTATGCCCTCCCTGGGGCGCACCCTCCAGGAACCTCCACATGTTCAGCCATTTGGAAGTTCCCCAAACCTAGTCCTTTTGGATTTTAAAAAATATTTTGCCGGGCTCGGTGACTCAGCCTGTAATCCCGCGCCTTTGGGAGACTGAGGTGAGTGGATTGCCTGAGCCCGCGGGTTCGAGACCCGCCTGGGCAG